GGTTAATGTGATTAGGTTCATATTCAAGGTAGACCATTAAACAGTAAGACAGGAATGAGGAGTATATTTTATGGTGAAGATGGAGAGCAATGTGGAGTGGAAGAACTTGCTTTGCAGTATTACGCTGGAGAAGGAGGTGCATGGATTGGTGTCCATACAGAGAGTGGCATTTGGTTGACTATTTTTGGGCTTTTGATGTGGGATATTATGTTTGCTGATGTGCCAAATGCCTTTTGCACCAAGTTTCAGGTACTCTTTGTGATTATTCAATTTCTCAATTTTCCAGGTTCAGGACAGTATACCTCTTTTTTTTGGTGCTGATTGCATATGTTCAAAGTAGGTTACATGCCGGAGTGAAACATGGGTTTCTTGAAGTGTTTTTTGGCCAATAACAGCAATTCTCTTTTATTATTTAAATGGCTAGTGATTCAGTAAAAGAGCTGAAAGTTGTAGTCAATTGCTATTGGTTTAGAATGGAATACATCTTGTTAGTCGCACTTGGTCTAAGGTGAGCTAAATTTTCCTTGCAGTTCATAGGGGCAAAGCTTTGAGTTTATACTATTGAAGCTTGAGGGACTGTTATGATTCTTTTAAACCCCGAAATTATGACATGCTCTGTCCGAGTAAGAGATATTGTGCGTTTACTGCTTTTATGTGGGTTCTTAACAGTGTTTAGGTATCTGTCAATGAGGCAATGTTAAATTATTCTGACACCAGATTATTTAGAACAAGTTTCTCTGGTGGCATTGAAAATGGGAGCTCCTGTATTACTGTTTCTTCCTGGCAGAAAAAGGATTATTCTTTGCAAATGCAGAGTTTAAATGTGCTTGTTTTAGCTAATTGATCCAAGTGGCAATGGGCAAATACATTGATAACACCTGGATAAAAATGCTGAGTTAAAACTGATATAGGATTCAGTCATATGGAAGACCAATCTTCCAATCTTCACTATGTGTTTCGTTGTTTCATTTGTGTGAAGCTATTTAACCTGTCTCTTATTCAATGGATTCAAAATGAGGTTAGTACTTCTTCAACCTTAAATTGAATATCCTTGTCTAAAATGGCCTTAATCTCTGTTGCCGATTTGGTTTGGGAGTATTCTGCCAAATCAATTACAGCTACAGACATCATTAAGGACACTCTGTTGAGTTAGCAGCAGATTTTTTGTTTTCCTCCTAATATTTGTTGCTGAAATGCAAGGTAATTTAGATGGGAAGTAGGAAAGCGATGGTAAGAGTTGAACCTGTGACAAGAATGGAGAGCCTTAACTAATTGACTGTATATTGTACGCTCTTATATAAGGTTGCATTACCTGTCATCTTCACCATATAGAGTAACTATATAGGAAATGATTTTCAAATGATCATGTATAGATTGTTCATTAAGACATTTGAATTAAAACACAAGAGGTGGTACAAATGAAAAGCATTACACCTTACAAATGTTTGTGTGCTGTTGAATTCCCATTTGGGTAATATGCAATTACATTTGCTATAAATGAGAACCTCTATTATTAAAATTTTAGCTAGATCGGGTACTGTCTTTTTTGTTCATTTCATTTATAAATTCTACTACCTTTCGCTCGCTTGTTTTTTCTGTTATGCTTTTATTTTATAAGGATTTCTGTCTTTTCTATCATAATACCCTATTTGTGTGTTGAGACATGTAATTTTTTCATTCTGCAGACAGCTCCCTTAGATCTGGAGACAGATAGCTTTTATACAGCCAGAAAGAGCCTTATAGAGGGACTTCTGGGAAAGATTAATGATGGCATGGCAGAAGAAATTCTTATCACGTCATGGGAATTACATGCAGGAACAGCCTGCAGGGGAGTGAACTGGGAAAAGCATTCCTTGGCTGAGCTTCGTGCTGCTGTCACATGCATTGGGGGTCCCTGTCTTGCATCAATTTGCAGGCATTTGGCTCAAGATTATCGGAGCTGGTCGAGTGGAATGCCTGATCTCTTGCTTTGGCGTTTTCATGACAATTATAAAGGTGAAGCAAAGCTTGTTGAAGTAAAAGGCCCAAGGGACAGACTTTCCGAACAGCAGCGTGCATGGCTGCTGTTTCTTATGGACTGCGGCTTCAACGTTGAAGTGTGCAAAGTAACTGCTCCAGTCGTGAAGTAAAATGTGTTCTTATCACAGCGTATTCCATCATACCAAAATATTTGTGCAACATGTCATCCTGCTCAGAGAGCTGTACGCCTGTTGATCTTCAGAGGGATATTGCACTTATCCCACGACTACAGCTGGAGATGTAAAGATTTAGTTCAACATACGATGAAGGGGTTGGCTCTCTGAACAAATGCTAAGCCTACTTTTGGAGCTGTGCCTGTAATTGCACTGCAATGTTCAGAGACTTCTTCCCTCTAGGATTGCTGAGAAGTCATCCAGTTGTAACGGTAAAAAGTTATTGCTTCATCTCTTCTTATTTTCTTCTTCCCAACCAATCATTGTTTTGTTGGTAACTATTGTTTGACCTGCATTTCACACAAGTAGTGCTTTTCCACCCTCCCTGTAACTTCTGAAGAAAATTCGCCAGTTTATTGGAGCCACCTCAATAAATTACTACAAAGATAGAAAGAAAATGAATTGTAATTGTATTTTCGATTCTACCTCCAGCTTGAATTGTGTCACATTGAAGCCATACCGTGTAGTGAAGTCATCTACATTCTGTACTGGTCTCCTGTATAGAGTTGGCTTCTAAATTCATTAGCAATTTGTGTGTGTGTGTGTGTGTGTGTGTGTGTTTTTTTTTTTTTCGAGTTCTCTTCTGTAATGTTTGCTTATTCTTTCAATTGGTCTGTTTCCTATGTTGCATGCCTTTATCAAAGCTTCTTTTGATGCTTGTGCTCCATTGTGGTCGGCTCTGATACCAAAATATTTGATTAAATCCGCTGATAAAATTGGTAAACAAACAATTTTATTCTACTGAATGTATTAAACAGTGTTTACAGATTAAACATGCACCAAATACATCTCTCTTCCAAGACGAAACTAATTTGAGCGTCATTCGTATGCTTGCTCTCTATTATATTAGTTTTACCCTTCAGAGTTCAGATATCAGTTCAATTCCTCACACAACTGATTTTCTCAAACGCTTGCTTAGTACCTGAATGAGCAACTGTAAACGAACCGATTCGTAGGACTAGGGCTGAAATGGTTGAAAGACTTGCTTAGTCCTTAAATTTTATTATGAGCCAATTTAGTCTTTCAACTATTTTGCTTAAGCTGAAATAGTCCCACACCTATGTTTACCGGGGTAGTTTTGTCCTTAATTGGCTCTCGTCCACCCAATTTATTTAACTTTTTGCACTCACAAATGGGGGGCAAAATAGAAAATTCAATCATTGCCCTTATTAAAACAATAGAAAAACATATATTTGTGAGAAAATTGACAACAAAATTGAATCCTATAGTGAGCAAAGAAAAAAAAAACAAATTAAAGCTTCTTATGGCCAAAAAAAAAAAAAAAATGGAGCTGATGCTTTACAAAGTTTCATAGGGATCCAAATCAATCCATTAAATGGAAAAGGCAGGAAAATAACATAACAAGATTGTGCAAAAAAAAAAAAGTATGAAGTTAAGATGTCCTAGGTTTGAGTCCTCTCTCATATACTTAAAAAAAAATAATAAAATAAAAATAAAAAAGAAAGAAATTCAATTTTTTTTTGGCTTTCTATAAATTCAATTTCATTGCTGTTTTTTGCCCATATAAACATAGTGAGGGCTATTTCAACTTAAGTAAAATAGTCAAGGGACTAAATTGACTTATAATAAAGGTCAATAACTATTTTGGCTTTGTAAAAATAGTTGAGGGACTAAATTGACTCATTTTAAAGTTTAGGGACTATTTTGACTTTAGCAAAATTAATTTAGGGACTAAATTGATATTTTGCTTGTCCTAAAAAGATGATGAATAAGTTTGTTATACATTTCACGGTATAAAAAATTTTGTAAGATGAAGTGCCAGAATATATTATTTAGACAGCATTTAGCCTGTCAAATTGAAGTATTTGGTCTATATTATTAGCTAATAGAATTGATCATATAAGTTCTTTTTTTAGTCTTTTTTATATTTATTTTGTATCTTTTAAGCACTATACATGAAGAAAACACGTACCGTCTTTGATATCATCTCAATAAGTTATGAACCATGTGAAAAACCTGTATCCCAAGCCATAACCAATATTGCCACTATGTCATTTTATGTATTATAACCTTTTATTTCACCAATTCGTTCTTTGTTTGCAATAGAACTACTGAATGTCTTTCTATTTTTTATTCTAAAGTTTGAGTTAATATCATCCTAATTTGGGGTGCAATGAATTGAGTTTAATCGAGTAACTCAGTGAGTTTGCTTGGTCAAAACTTGAGTTCAAATAGTTTGAGTTACTTGATGAGTTGAGCTCATACTTAATATGTGAAATTCGAAAATTTGTAGAGTTTAATTAAACTCAATCAAACTTGATTAGGCTCGATTAAGTTTGAATGAACTTGATTTCAAATCGATTGAACTCGACAAGCACGAGTTCAAATTCGATTTTCAAGAGTTCGATAAGTTCAAAATCGATCTCGAGTTAAGTCCAAATTTTTTTAATTCGAATAAAGTTCCAATAATACACTACCCGAGCTGGATTTGCACACTCGATTTCGACTTGACTCGATTACACCCCTAATTATTTTTGTTCTTGACTGCTACTTTTCCTCCGTAACAAAAATTCTATTTTTGTTCTTTATTTCTCAATTTATTTGAAAATTATGATTTCTCCCTTCAAATATACTAAACAAACCAATTAACTCAGAAATGATTAGAACCCAGGGGCAGTCAGTCTCTCGTCATCCCAGGATCAGTCAGCAAGAATGACTAATTTGTGAACGAATAGAGTCCCTTAATGCGACAGCCAAGTAAACATTTTTTTTTTCCCGATATCAATTGTATAAATTATTCTATCATAAATTACAAAGAAGAGAAAGCCTAAAAAAACTTGTGTTAGAGACTAGCCGGTAACAGCCAAGTATACATTAACCGGTAACTTTGTTCACTTTCTGGCTTGAATAAATGCTTTAGAATCAACTGCAAAAAGAACCACTCATTGGTCAACAAACCAAGGACCTATACATTTTAAACCTTATTACATGAAAAGAACAATTGATGATTAAATCAGAAAACATACTAATTGAAGCTGAGAATATTATATATTAACTCTTTCACCTGGATTAGCCGCATAAACTAGAGCACCGGTGTCTGCGCCTAAGCTATTCAGATTAAAAAAAAAAAGAGAGAGAGAAAGTCATAATCGATGGTTAAGGAAAATTTTACATATGAACTTTCACGACTGAGACGGCTAGAAACTCAACGTTATCTTCAATCAGACTAGAGAATCGTGAGTCATCTTCTAACAGAATTCTAGTAAATCAATCTCATTAGGAGTAGCATTACCAAGAAAATCTCAACCAGGTGAACAACAAGCAACAACAGTTCACAGATTATTCACCTGTATTCTGTTTCCAATATTATGTAATAAGGGTGGTCTGCGCCCTTCGCAGAGTAGAAGAGGGAGTCCCTTCTGATTCTGCGATCAGGAACACAGAGGCGCAAGTAGCAGACTGTATCGGAGTGTCAATTCAACTTTAGATTCAACTTTTACTACCAGGACTGGAGTTGTTAGATGTTGCAAGTGCCTTTGCAATTAAACTAGAAAGCTCAGCTTTGAATTTCAGCCCCTGGCTTTTTACAAGGACTGGAATTGCTGGATGTTGCTCGGTGCTGCTATAACTTAACCAGAGAGCTGTGTGTCAAACTTTAGCCCTTCTCATTGGCCACGGGGAACAGCCTCTCATGATCATGACAGTCTTCTCCACATAATACATCTCAGGATAGTCCATTCCCCATAAACCATGAAAGGCTGTACTCATGGAGGAGCTGAAGATGAAATACCTCTCACTTCAATATATCGACACATTCACCATATTCCTTCTCTATGTATAGCCAATGAAGTAGTGTCTTTAATTCTGATATTGTTCTTCACGCATCAACTGACTTGCCTCTCATTGTGAGTTTAAACATAATCTTTCCTTTACCCTTCAACTTCAAGAGCTGGCTCTGACCAATGGCATCCGTCCCAATAATCAAGTTATGGCCTACTACTCCACAGCGCTCTCAAAAGCATTTCGGGTGATTACAGCACATTCAGAGTGCTAGAAAATGTAGTATGGTTAATCAACTGAGTCTGAATGTGTTCAATTATCAGCCCAGCAGTTCACATAGGCAAAGGAGGCTTCAAAGGCTTATTCTTGTCTACCAAAAATTCCTTCTCATACTCTGAAGGGCAAGAGAATTTGATATGGAATGCAAAGTCAAAAGTAGTTTTTTACCATCCACCAGATTTACCTCCTTAAGAATGGCAGAAATGGTAACAGCAGATGAGGTCGTAGGAATATTACGCAGCACCTGAGTCTTCTTGCAGTGCCTTTTGCACTTGATTCAGACTGGCCAAAAGATCCTGATATTCTTGAGTGTCTGAAAAATTTGCTCCCTGAAAAAAAAATAATCTGTCAGTCAATTCGACAAGGAGATTGAATAACAACATAGTCACTAGTCAGATAACTGAAAGTATCCATTTGCATAAGCTTCATAACTCATCAGAAGTACAAGGTGCCAAGCAAAAGTATGCCGCTAGTAAGAAAATATGTCCAGTAAGTTAAAGGCAACATTCACCTGCTTAATTATGTTTTTAACATGCATCTCAGCTGCAAACAGTTCTCGACGTCCACCAGTTTGATAGGAAAGCTCCTGATATACTTTACAAAGTTCCAGTGAGGCATGTGCAAATTTTACAAACCGCTCCCTATCCTTCCACAAATCAGATCCCTGATAGGCTCTGACTTGCTTAAGCAGGGCCTCAGAGCACATCGTAAGATCCCCCTTCAATTTGTGCCATCGAGCATACAGCCCCCAAATATCAGCTCCCCCACTACTTTTAACAATCTGCTGCAAGATCTTGCCAAGCATTTGCATCAAATGCTCAAATTCATGCTTCCTAGCCAAGTCTTCTGAAATTGTTGATTTGTCAGCATAATTAACATCTGAGGTAGCATGCATATGCTGGGTGTCGTTGCCACCAGTTGCCTCTGAAGGATGAGAATTGATAATTGAACCCTGTTTTTCAATCTCTACAATCAATCTTTCTAGTAAATCAACATCAAATCTTTTATTACTAGTCATGTCCAGGACCTTTTGTATAGCATCCATTGCCTGGCTATAATTGCCAACGTCTGCAGCCACTTGGCTGAAATTCTCCCACATCTGCCAATTGTTTCGCTTGAATTTTAATGCTTCCTTGAAAGCAACAAAAGCCTCTTTGCTTTTCTTCCTAATCATGTGGAGGCAAGCTACATTATTCCAAGCCTCTCCATTTTCAGGATCAAGTTGAACAGCACGTGTAAACCCATCCAACGCCTTTTCAACATCCCTAGCTTTCAGAGCAGCGGCACCAAGTGCAAACCAGCCATCTGGATACAAGGAATTCAGTTTCATTGCTGACTCCCATAGAACTTTTGACTTCTCATAGTCTCCCCTGTTGTATGCGCTGCGAGCAAGGGATCGCAGAGCTCGAGCTGACTTGTTCCCTGAAATGTCAAGGGCCTTTTCATAGCAAGAGTCATCAATTGTAACATCACCAAGTGAACACCATAACCTTGAGTCATTAGGCCTTTCCAACAATTGCTTCTTGATGAGCTCTACAGCTGCTGCTTTCTTCTCCAAAATTCTATAGCAGTATATCAAATTATCCCAAAGCTCAAGATCTTCATAAACTTTGATAGCTTCTCCTATCAACCTGCAGCTGACTAAAAGATCACCAAACTCCTTGCGTAATGCAGGAATTCCAGGGATGTTCACTGCAAAAGAGTAAAACATCCTCTGCACAACACCAGGAGAAGGTTCACTTATACTTTCAACTAGTTTCTCCATCATCAAAAGTGCACGCTGCTTTGTGCGGCTACGAGTTGATTCCCACCGAACGCGCAACATGTTGCAAAAATATTTAATTGTGAATGGTGAGGATTGTTGAGAATCTATTGCCTCCATATATGGTGCCATTTTGTAGTGTTGCAATTCATCGTTCCGAGCACTTTTCTCAATAGAAAGACATTGCGCCAAAATCACAGCCTGTTGGATTGCCTTCAACTGTGTGGCAGAAATACTAGAAATTTGAACAGCTTGATCACCACTATCAGAAGTTTTATCTTCTAAAATTCTAGGGGCCATCAACACGTCAGATGCTTCCTGTGTTTCAGGAGGATGCTGAAGTGATGTACCATCAATAGTGGTGGTTATGTCACCCTGCATCTCATGGCTAACTGATCCAGTGGTACTATCACTGCTTTTGCCCGTTACAAGCAGCAACTGAGCCTTGGGTTCCACCTGTATTCCCCACTCTATCAGGATGGCCATGGATTGAGAATCTTAAGTGATCCATCACATCTCACTAAAGGTTTCTATTCAATACAAGTAAAATTTAAAATACCTGATGCATGGTGCGGAATCCAAGAGCTCCACTAACAGAAAAATCAAGTTTTGATTGTTTTTGAGCTGTTTCAAAGTGCAGTCTGACATAAAGAGTTTTTAGAAAAATTAATAGTGCTATTGGAAATGAACAAGTAAGAAAATTATAAGGTCGTCAACAAAGGGTGAGGGTGACAGATCTAAGAAAGAACAGATCCTCAACGAGAATAACATAACAGGTCTTCAACTATGAATAAGATACTCAGATGCGATACAACGGCATGGATATAACATGGGAATATATCAATTTCAGTTTGACTCCCTTATGGTCATTTCACTAGCTTCCTATCATGCTAGCAATGCAGTTACTTTAATGAAATAAATGGCATATTTACCATTAACCTTAAAAATATCAACTTCAACCTGTCTCGACTTGAACTCTACTCAAGGAGTTTTCAAGACCATATAGTAGATTTGTCGCATCACATTAAGAAAAACAAAAGGTAAGAAAAACATTTGAAGTATTACTAATATGTCTTAGCCTTCCAAACTAGAATATTTCAAAACTACATTAAGTTTTTCAATCTTAAAATGAGAAATGCATTTGCATTACCTTCCACATCACCTAGAAATCTTGACATTTCAGCATAATTTCAAAATACCGGAGTTTGGAGGAAGTAAGCAGATGTAACTAGACATTATTTTCCATTCCATCACAATATTCTGTGCTACTCTTAAGTATTCCTATATTTATTTAACGCTATCATGTTTCCATCTCAGCTAGTGCATAACACATTTTGACCTTTATATGCAGGCACTTCTATTAAAAAACATTTACACCTGCATAAGAGTGCATCCATAAATCACATGTGGTCTACATGAGCCTCCTAAAAGTGTCTGCTCTTTACAAATAACAATTATTGACAAAAAGGAACCAAAGTCAGAAAAGGTACACTGCAGCACATGCTATAGCACCTCTAAAGCATTTGGAAAGCTAGCATTATGCAGCTACTTGGTAAGTTAATCATCTTCCAAAATCAGCTTGAGAAAACTGGATGTATGGTTTCATGGTGAACCCATTTAGTATCTCACCTCAAAATGTACTACCACTGGAACCCAAATATGCCTTTAGCCCATAGGGTAACTTTTGCACCACAATGGCACTATGCACTACAGACAATTTTGATTAAAATCCGATTATGTATAATATCTATCCGATACCATGACTATAGAGATTGACGGTATTCAGAATAGCATATGCCAAAGGACAAATTAAGACAGGATCCAACCCAACCAAACATCAATATGCCAACTCAAATCTGCACCAATATCAGATGATATGGAGAGTTGGAAATCATATTAACTTGCACCAGAAACATCACTTGTTATACAATGTCCTTACATGATATCTCAGCAATCAATCACAACATAGCTACAGCTTGAAAGTATACACATGGTGACTCACCTGGAAGAATCTACCCGTGCATATGTGACTTCCATCATCCCCACCTCTAAATGGAGCATGGATACGATAGTTAAAGCATCTTCTTCCGATAGCCTTTGACCCCAATAATTTGTCACTTTGCCTAGACTACCAAAATGTCGTAAACTTTCATGTGAATATACTTGTAAGAGGTCAAATACAGTGGATGAACATTCATCCAACAGTTTCTGATGAATGAGCAGCACCCTAGCAAGCCACCAACAAATACTTCTCAAAGCAGCAGTAGTGATACTGCTGTCTAGCAACAGATCTTTCGTCTTCATCAGTAAAATCTTTGACAGAACTATATACTACAAAAAGCAAACAGACCAAATGTTTTTCATTAAGAGATGTTGCAAAAGGAGAAAACAACATATCAAAGTCAACAAGCTGAATGTATCATTATCATGCTGACAACACATGCATATGAACCTATCCTACAGCCATGCCATTGATACCATAGAACATATGTTAATTAAATTAGCAGAAGGACATGAGCTATTCCTATAGAACTTCTACCTTCCAGTCAACACTGTCCTATTACAGCTCATGAAACAGAAGGATGTCAACTTCTATTAAGCTAAAATAGTATGTAAATAGTATGTACCAGGATACTCCTCTACCTGAATGTACTCTGTTAAAACTTTATAAGTTAATGCATAGACATGAAGCCATGGAAAATGAGGGCCCAATAATTTCCCATATCTTGCTCCTTACTAAATTATGAATTCTGATGCCTAGACCAATTTGAACTTATCTTTCAAGATAGCCTGGTCTAGAAAGCCTATCTAAGTAAATGTACATAGCAAAAGAAAGCTAGGAACTAAACAGTCTGTTGTTCATCAGTTTTCTTGTGTCTGACAAAATGAACTAAAACTCTAATCAGGTCTGTCGCAACAGAAACACTAAAGAATAAATTCATATGTTTAGGATTTCATGTAAAACGAAATTTCAGAACAAAATTTAGGATTTTCCAGAAACATATAAAAGTGTAGCTTCCACAAAATATAGATTGTTTTTTGAACCTCGGCAATTAGTTACTAAAGGATACCTACAATGTGGACAGGGATAACATGAATTCAAGGAAAGCAACAAAAATCAAGAAAATGGTCTGGAAAGGACCACATAAGCATCTGAGACAGCACAAAATTTACTGCAGATCTTATTGCTTGTTTTATCTTTTGGCGATATTATATTCTAATGGAAAAAGGTCCCATCAGAAAAAGAATATAATCACCACAAAACCAATATTTGTCACAGTACATACTCCAACTTATACTCAATAAGCCATTGGGAGATCAAACATGAATCAACTTTGCAGCTGCAACTTAAAACACCAAAACGATTCAAAGAACCAGAAAATTGAAAAAAAAAAAAAAGGACTGCCTATTAGACCAGTACCTGGAGATTTGAGAATTTTCCTCGAACATCAGAACCAACCGACATTATGTCCTTTTGTGCCCATAATTCCCACTCTATCCAATTATCATTAATTGGCAACAATGGCATCGCTGGCATTTTTTCCACTGGACTACAACCAAATTACATGAACATCAGTTCATATATTTGAACAAATCATCAAATCAGACAGTTCAAAAAATGTATAGTTTTCATTTGTCTTAAATCACTATCACAACATAAAATTGTGCACGAAATCAGGTAAATTAAATGAAAACCCTGTTCATTCCATGTAAAGATTATACAATTTTGACTTTTCCCCAGTTAATTTTCTACTTTACTACAGAAATACTCTATAGATTGAAAAAACTCATATACATTACTTTCTCAAGTCAATATGCCTCACGCAGGGAAATAAAAAAAAAAAAATTTCTTACCACCCTAACTCTTCAAAATAAAAATAATAATCATAACCGATTAAAAAATATCTTTCCCTATTTTTCTCCAGTTTAACTTGCTCGAGCTCGCTAAAGCAGATGCTAATAAGTAATAGCAAAAGTAACTCATCTTCGAATTCATAAACAAAAAACAAATAACTTAAAAGGAAAAATAAATTGGAAAGGCTCAAACTTTAAGAACAAATAAATATCATAAAAAACACACCAAAAAAACTGAAAATTTAATGGAAATTAATACAAGATTAGAAATTACCCAGTAACATTTGATTGAGTAAAAGCCAGCAAAGCCGCGACGGCGATGGCCATAACAAGAAAAGCCCTGAAACATTTCTCCAATTCATCAATTTCCGAATCGGAATTCCCATTCACGAAAACGACGACGCTCTGGGGGACTAACTCGGAATAGAATAACTCGGCTGAATCAGCCGAGCTAGAGAACGCGGTGGCCGAGTTGAAGCTGAAGATAGATTTAACTGCGGCGGAAGACAGAGCTTCGACATAGTTCCCTGACTCGATCAATTGAACGACATCGGAAATGAGGGTTTGGAGATTGGGAGGAACTTCATCGGACGGTGGAAATGTCGGCAGGGGATTATCGGAGGGTAGAGTACAGCGGAGGAGCCGAAGCTCCAGAGACCGGAGCATGTGGAGCGGCGCATCGGAATTTTCTTCCATGGAAAAAGTTGGGTTTTTTAGGTTTGGAGGAAGAAATAAGAGGGTTTAAACGGTCAAGGAGTTCAAAAGAGAAGAAGAAAGAGAATATTCAGGAGGAGGAGGGTTTAAGCGGCTATTTGTTTCCGGTTTCTGGTTTCGTGTCTTTTCGCGAGTTCAATAGTGTGTTGGGACGATTTCATGTATGAGTATCAAAAGCGTGCTTGGCGGCTTCAGATCACTATTTGTTTGAAATTTTTTATGGCATCATTACATTGGGATTGGATTCAAAGGTGCTATACCTTAGTGCGGCGGATTATATACATGAAGAAGAACACAATGAGGCGTGATTTGGATTGCAAGTTTTTTAAGTTGTTATAAAAAAAATATATCATAACGATGTAAGTCTGTGAGGTAAGAAGATGATTCAAAATATGTTGCGAGAAAATTTTTTATGAAAATTCGCAATTCAAGCAAGAAATTAACCTTTTCATTGAAAATTGAGGGTTGGGCCTCTATAGTAATTTGTGCAATCAGAGAGTTCAACACTTGATGTGGCTTAAATTAGTATCTCAAATTTTATATTTTTGGGAAGGAAAAAATTAATTTAAAATTAGTAGATTGAGGCTCGACTTATTTGCGCCACTAATTACATAGAATCCACTCCTTGTATATCTTTGTCATAGCATGAGTCAATAATTAGTCAAGGTATAATGTCATCGTGATGCACAAATACTAATCATATTATATCACAAATAATGGTAATCCTCCAAATTTAATTCACATCAAATGTGATTAGTAGTGAGAAAAAGTATAAAAGAATATTGGTGTATTAGGGGCACATGTTTGGGGAGATTGAAATTTCAAAATATAAATGGGCAATACCAAAGAAGAAGGATTTTTTTTTTTTTTAAATATAGAGGGTGCAATCATAAAAAAAATTAAAAAATTTCAAACTTTTGAAGCCTATTATATAATTTTTACAAAATTGAGGGGGAAGGGGAAGGGACAATTGCCCACCCTTACAACATGGCTCTGCCAATGATTGTTAATGTAACATAATTTTTAAAAATTGTAATATTTTAATCAATATTTTAGTTTTGAAACTTTCAAATATAGTCATACTATTCATGTGCAGTTTGTATATATAATTTTATTGAATTCGTATTTTTTTGTATCGAACTTTTAATCACATCTTTGAAGGAAAATTGAATGATATGCATATGTACAATATTTCATATTATGTGCATTCCGTATTTTGCTAACTATGCTTTAAACTAATTAATTAAAAACAAAAATGGTGATGTGTCTAAAACAGCCGCATATAGAAACATATTACTAGTGTAAAAGTTTTAGAATAGAGGTTTGTTTTTCAACCAAAACCAGAAAATTCTAAAAAAGCGGTTGAGTTATTTTTGTCACCAACGTGAGATGTCTCATTTACTACAAAAACCTTAAAGGAAAGGCAATGCCTTGGTTCAAATCACTGTATATAGTGGGGTGGGAGGCCAAGGGTTTAAACCTTATCTCCTATCAATGTGCCTCAATATGAGGAGTGTTCTAAATTCAGACAGGTGAGTGGTGCACCCGTCTGGTCAGATGGTGGTTAAGTTCTCGTCTGATTTTCCCGACTCAATTGGCCCACTCCTTAGAATCACTTCCCTTAAAAAAATAGTTCCCCCCCCTTCCATAGGAGTAGGAGTAGGTTAGGCTAGGCTAGCCATTGCCGCTAAAGTAAAAAAAAAAAAAAAAAAAAAAAAAAAAAAAAAAAAAAAAAAAAGCAATGTCTTGGTTACTGTGGTTCTTTCTGCATGTCAAATTTCCCCTTGCTGACAAGTGGCAAATCTCCACCGGTATTGGGATACTCTCATGTTTGCACAACTAGAGGTACCTCGGCACAGCCAGGGCCCTCAAGAACATCAGTTAAATACATAGTAACAAATGTTTTAGTACATAATGAATAGAAATATAGGAAAAAAATTAAGTATAAAAATAATTAAAATTTGCTGTGAAAAGAAATTTCATATATAAAGTTAACCCCAATTTATTGTGATTTGGAAAAAGAATTTTTAACCAATATTATGTGTACGTAATGATACCAAAAAAAAAAAAAAAAAAAGCAAATCCATTATGAGTGCATTATCGGTTTAATAGCAGCATAGTTTTAGTTGTAATTAAATAAAGAGTAGTCATAATGTTTCTAACATTTTAATAATTAGAAAAAATATAGAAAGCCACAAAAACCTGTCACTATCTTCAACATCAATAAAAAAAAAATACAAACTTGCATATTTTTCTTTCTTTTTTGAGAGAAAGAGCGAGTTAATCTATCCATTTAAATCATGTCTAATAGCATTACAAATAGATGAAAACATTATCTAACCAAATAGTTATAGAATACGTATAGCAAGTTAAATAAAAACATGAATTGCCATATTTGTAAATCCACATATGCAAATTCAAATCCAACAATTTGTTTGATTGCAAATATGTCTTCTTAATCAAAATAGAATTTTCTAATAATATTTTGTAGAGTGACACTCTAAGCTAAAAGCCTCAATACTAACTTCCCACCAAATGCATTCCTTTGAAAACTGCAATTGTTTTAGCTAGTCAAATCGACAAAATATTATTAACTTCTTTAGCCAAATAGTAATGATATGTCCAGTTCTATGCCTAACAATCATCTCAAACTCTAATTACATTATCTATCATTATGGGCAATAAAAGGGATAAGAGTACAAAGTCATATAGAACCAGTTTAAGTAAAAGATTCTGAAATCTAATTTTGCACTTCTTTTATTTCCAAGCTATCATTTGCTAAAATTAAAACCATGAAAATAAACTACCTATTATGGATACAAGCTAGTCATTCAAAATGTTGAATGAAGAGATATAAAATATTATCTTCACATTCTAAATTGCTAGCCCCAACAATTATTTTACCCGTCATCCACCTTATCCAATTTATAAGCACTTTTCACAATTAATAAACTTTATATAAATTAAAATATAATTACCTATCCATAAATTAAGAGATTCTGGTTAATTTTTAATTTAATAGGCATCATTTTTTTCTTCCTGATCATCGTTTACCTTGGATTTTCATTTATTAGATTTTTTTCTCCTCTACTGTAGTACTATCACCCTATTATCAAATAACAATTTTAATAAATAAAAAATTAGAATTAGAATGAATCTGCATAATGGTGTTATTTATTTTATGAGGGAAAAGTAGTTACAATTCTTTCATTGTTAGCCTAAAAATTCTTCATGTAATCACCACCCGTCTTGTTGTCAGCCTTTTCCAAAAATAAAAAGATCAAAAAGTAGTTTCAGAATAAATAAAATATAAAAAACTAAAAAAAATGTTTCTTTAGATTTGGGGAAAAATATTCACAGCATCACATACCTATTTTGGGCAGAAAAGAAAGTCAGATGAAGAAGAAATAGGTGAGAAAAGCAATAAGCAAAGGTTGCTGATCAAGACGCAAAAAATGACAAAAAAAAATCAAATAGTATATACCAAAAAGAGACATTAAAAGTAGAAGATCATGAATCATAATTATTGGACTATGGAAGAAAGGAAATATCAAACCCATTCTTGATCTCCGATAATGAAATCATTCATTTAGTTAATTATGGACAAAAATGAAAGAAAATGCATCAACTAATCCAATAGAGAAAAAATAGAATAAATGATTAATTAGGATGATAGGGGAAAAAAATGGAGTACAAAGTGGAAACTAAATAACAAACCTGCAGTGTACATGAGGATTTGTTTAATTATCTTTAATCAAAAAGGAGAAAGGAAATAAAGTGAACAAAAGAAAAAACAAAGCAAATGAAGAAAAAAAAAAGAATGGGCCATGTGTCAAAATGAGAGGGATCCACTTGGCAATCATTGGAGTTGCTATAGTAACTCCACTTTCCTTATATAATAGGTAGATTAGATTTTTATGCCACTTTAATATGTCAAAAATATGTGCTCAAACAAGCGAACACATTAATTCCCAAGTGACGTCAATGACTTCTGAATTCCTGAACATCATAAAACGAGAGTGAAAGGAATCTACAAATTTTCAACAACAATTCTTTCTCAGGTGGATCCCATCTCATTTTCCCCTAACAGTAGAATTGAACAAATGAAAGCAAAGTGCATAATCAAATATTCCCAAGGAACAACTTATCCTTTGTAAATCAACATGTCAAATCTCATATTTCAACAGGCGTGCTATCTTCTACCTCTTCCAATAAGGGTTGGGGGGGGGGGGGTGTCTCAAATTTGATACGATTCTTTTGGCATCATTTTGTCGTATTGCACTACAGTTATGTGAACTCCAACAATAGACAGCGGAAAGACATTCATGGCGTACAAAAGAGGAGAATTAGCATGGATGCATGCTTCCTTTTCCTTTCTCTTGGGAGCCATGTATTTTGAATGGAATCTAGAGTACCTAATTACACTGTAGATTTGGTGCAGGAAGGCAATCTTTTATGTTGGGATTGGATTCACAAATGATGATTTAGGATCCACTATGTGTCACACTCATATGTCGTAAGTAACCCCTTTTTCTTTTAATTTTATTATGTCAGAGAATCAACATATGTTCAAATTCCTCGTGATTCATGAATTAAGTAATGACTTATTCCACTTTCATTTTTCTAAAATTAAGTATTGTTGAGCCATCTTGCCAAAAAATTTAAAAACAAAAAGTATCCTTGTAAGAGAATAAAGGGATTTAACCAACGGTATCAATTTGGTGGGATGTGCTTCTATTCCTTCTCTTGCTTTCTTCCAAGAACCATCTCATTCAAAGAGAGCAATAGGCGGCCTTCTGATTATGATTAACGCGTTATGATGTGAGCAGTTGAAGGAGTTACATGCACCAACTTCTTTCTGATGGAGAACTAGGACTGATTCCATTGTATACGTACCCTCAACCTCGGCGTTCATTGGCAATTTTAACCATCTATTTGAAATTCTTAAGGATTATTTAGTAGTTTTGACTATTACATATTGTGTTATATTGCCCTTATTTCTTATTAAGTCTAACAAATTCATTGAGATTTGGTGCACTAAATATTTCTTGTGATATTGAAGATATAGTAATTACATTCATGA